TTCACCAGAAAGGTCATTTTCCCGGGATTTCCAATAAGGGTTTGGATTTAAGCTATGCCCTCAATAACACGAGGTATTAATGATCTCCGTATGGGTAATAGACTAGTGAACTTAATAGGATTTCTGGCTGATCTGCTAGAATTTGATTCATTTACCAGGATAAACTCAATTAGCCCATCTCGCTCATTTCCAGACCTGATTTCCTTGGAAACTTTCCATCACCATGTCTCAGGCAGGGACTCTGCTAGCTGGAGAGAGATTCACTGGAGAAGCAAATTCTCCTGCCTCTTCTCACCTCCTGACTCCAGATACACAGAGCAGCTCTCCAGCCTTCTCACAGTTGCTACCTGTCCCCATGTGGCTCATGGGCCTTCTCCGTGGTGCTAGCCCAAATCCTGCAGCAGGAAGGCTGCTTGTGCTGCAGATTAGAAGCCAGATATCACCATTGGCAGCAATGACACTGCTTAAGTGCCTGAGGCCAGCAGAACTAGGGGCCTGATCCAGAGTCCACCAAAGCCAATGGGAAGGATCAGAACCTAAGTCCCTAAGGAGAAGGGAAGCTGATAAATGCTTCTTTGGCTTAGGCCACGGATTGATTCTCAACCCCCTGCTGCCCATTTAACTCCTCCCTGCCCCCCCTCCCTACACTAGGCACAGATCAGGGGTGTTTGCTGACCAGGCAGAAAGAGGCTGAAGGAGAAAAATATAGATCAGGCAAAAACAGATGTGCAGAATGATGAAGCACCTCTCGGTGACAGAGCCCAAGCAATCACGTGTCGGTACGGGGACGTTCTTTCCACACTGTGAACTTTGAACAATGCTGCAGCATAGACGGAGCCCTCCCCACTCCCCAGTCTGTTCCTGACCTAACCGACTGACAGCGTCTTGGAGCCATTATCCCACCCCTTAGAGGAGGAGGAAACACTGCATTGGGGGAGGAAGAGTTAACTGCACAATCGACCAGAGAACTGGAGGAAAAGGATATTCCAGAACGGAGGCAGGCCCCCTCTGAACAACATAGGGCTGTTTCCTTTGAAGCCTCTTCAGCTGGGACACCTCTGCTCTTATATACCCAGCAGGGAAGGTTACTGGGAGCCCAGCAAACTCCAGCGCCGGCCTGCTGCTCAAACCAACACCCCCCCGCCCTCCTACAGGACAGGGCAGGGGATTGCTTCCAAACCCCTTCCTGATGATTAGCTTGGCGCTCCCAGCCCTTGCTCGGTAAAGGAATTCCTGGAAGCTGAGGAAAAGCCACCCAGCAAGTGTGGCAGATAAATATGGCATTTATATGAGCCCTTCAGCTGCTGCTCTCAGAGCACTCCACTCGGGTGGGGAAAATCCCCCAACAAGTCAGTGGCAGAGCTGGGAACTGTCTCCAAGTCTCCCACCTCCCCCTCCCCTGCTCGAACCACCAGAGAACTCTGCCTTCCTCAAGGGCAGCCAAAACTCCAGGCCTCTTCTCTCCAGAGGATGAAAAGACTGAAAATGAAACCATATGGACTGTACAGAACTTTGTAAAGATGCTGGTAACCATGGCGACAAGCCCTGGGTACATTCATCTGCCATCCCCAGCACAAAGAATTGAGCACTAGTTACATAACGCCAGTCACAACAGTGAGTCAGGCGCAACGAGCGTTATATAAACCCCCTTGTCTCTGCATCCCTGCCCCCTGCATAACCCGCCTGGGACAGGCTCAGTCGAAACATCACAGAGAAGGGATGGAGCAAAGTTGGAATCTTCTGCTTCAAGCCACTGCAGGGGCCTCGGGCTTCCTCTCCCTGAAACCCCTTTCATTAAGACTCTCGACAGAAATGTTACCACACGACCTCCAGAAGTCAAGACGGTATCCATTCAGCAGTCACAGTTCACTAAGGGCTCATCCAGACTGCAGAAGCAACAGTCTTGGGGATGGGGTTACCGCACGGTAGCCCCCAGACGGGGTTATTACAGCGTTTGATCTCTCTTGTGTGGATGAGACCAAAACAAGTTATAAGCATCTTCCCTGCCAGCACCACAGCTTCCCCTGGGAAAATGAGCCCTGATTCTGCAGTAGAGAGATGCCCAGGACCACCATGACGTTGAGGGGTAGTCCTGCGATAGAAACAGACACTCTTGTCTGCTCTCCAAGCCCAGGCTTGGTCTCCGAGCTCAGCTCTTGGGCCTTTTGCATTTGAATCACAAAGCTACTACGGAGCTCCCTGACTTCTCTTCTCCCTGTCTTCCTCCCCCACTTCCAGGATGTTCGTGCCTGGCAGAACAGGCAGGCCGAGGAAAAACAACTTACTGACCTACTTTGAGCTGAAACGCCTTGCATTTTATATAACGTGATGGCAAAACATCACAGTCAGAGAAAAAGAGGGCCCAGATGCAAAGGGCGAGCTGGAGGGCAAGAAAAATGAGTCCAGTAACACTACGGCCATGCGTGCAAGGCTCACAGTACATGGGGTCAGTATGTCACATCAACACTTATACCATACCCACCCCCAGAGGGGTGCTGGGCTAACAACCACCATCAACACCCTACTATACGGGATGACTAAGGGCCAAACCATCCCCTATGTGGGCTGTTCCAGGCCAGGATTTGCAAGGTTCCCAACTGATCATTCCATCAGGGACCTGGGTTTGCCTGCTCACAGCAGAGGAGGGGATCCCCAGAACTGCCTCCTGGCTTCTCTGGACAGCCACCGCAGCGCTGCCCCCCACAACTGGGATTGCCCGTCCTGCCTCTTTGGAAGGCTTGGGGGGAACTAGTATAAATGAGAATGCCAGCAGGTCAGCTTTCATATCCAGCTGGCATTCAAGTTGATGGAAAGCGTCTTCCCCTGTTCTGCCCACAGTGCAGAATCCACAGGCCAAAGGATGGGAGGGAGGTGGAAATGTCCTTTCACAGCCCCTCTGCATCCTTAGCTTTGGGCTCATCTTTGCTCACAGAAGTCACGAGGAGTGTTTGACCCCAACAGATGAACCAAGAGTATTATTCACTGGGGAGCATGTCTAATGGTTAGAACAGGAACCTGGAAGCCAGGAGATCTGGGTTCTTCTCTTGGCTTTGCCACTGACCTGCTGCGTGACCTTGGGAGAACTCACATCCCTTCTTGGTGCTTTAGTTTCCCACGCTGGGAGTAATATTTGCAGGGGAGTTGGGGGACTTAATATTTGTAAAGTGCCATGGAAATGGAGAGAGGCATTAGATGTGCCAAAGCTGGAATTCTAATTGCAATAATCATTTGCTCCTCTCTCGTCCCTTCCATCCAAGAATCACAACTATGAATGGCGCTAAACAACACCCCAAGGAACATGCAAATATTGTTATTCTCCCTCCCCTCACACCCTCTTCTCTCCCCCCCCCCCCCGTGGAAAAAACTGAGGTACAGAGAAAACATTCAAATGTAATGCCAATTAAACAGGGATCTCTAATGAGCACACAGGAGCTAACAGTTTGCACCACTAATTTTTAGTGAGCCATCTCACTGCCTTTTAAGCAATGTTCCCACTGGGGAGGGAGCAAACATTCTGTATGGGGAAGGCTATCACCTGTGTTTTTTACATTGTGCCTGGCTTCTTGTATGCCAGAGGTTCTCAAACGTTTGTCCCGGTGCCCCCTTTCACACAGCAAGCCTCTGAGTGCGACCCCCCCTAATAAATTAAAAACACTTTTTTATATATTTAACACCATTATAAATGCTGGAGGCAAAGCGGGGTTTGGGGTGGAGGTTGACAGCTCGTGACCCCCCCAGATAATAACCTCGCGACCCCCGGAGGGGTCCCGAATCCCAGTTTGAGAACCCCTGTTGTATGCTGATTGTATCACTAGTTGGTTTATTAGGATGCTGGGAAGTATTTGGGAGAATTTTGCAAGCAATAGAAATGGGATCCCAAGAGAGTCAGATCAGCTTGCAGTTCCCACCAAGCCCTGAAAGGTGAAATTCTCAGCATACACAGGGACGTTGGTGCTGGAACTAGGGGGGCTGCCGCACCCCCTGGGTTGGAACGGTTTCCATTATAGACAGGGTTTACAGTTTGGTTCAATGGCTCTCAGCACCCCCACTATAAAACTGTTCCAGCCCCCTTGCACAGGGATGCAATTAAAATATGCGGCATCCTTGCAAGAAGCGGGGGAGGGGAAGTCCCATAGCCAGTGGCAGGACTTTGCCTTGGGCCCCACAGAATGACAATACAGACAAATTATGTTCAGAAGAGAAATGGCATCACACAAAAATAAAAGCCTCTGTAACATGGCCAGGCAGGTTGGGAGCCATGGCTAGCTAGCTGCCACACAAGACCTAGAGAAACACAAAAGATCATTCAATGCACAGTGAAACAACCTGTATCTGACCCTTCCTGGATTTAGTGGTCAGTTCACCCCTTCATCTTCCCTTCCAGAGATATCCTGCTGGTTCACCCTTTCCCCTTGTTGTCTCCCCCCCCACCACACACACAAAATGCAGAGCCGCAAAATAACCCAGCTGCAATTCCTGAAGCAGCAAATGTCACAGCCCTGAACGACAGAAAGTAGCGAACCAGTTGGAGAAGGAAGGAAAAAAAAACCCAAACAAGTCCAAATCAATACATTAAGATGCCCCCTCTGCCTCCTTCCCAAACCCCAAAAATCCAAGCAGATCTGCAACGCACGGCAACAGTGGTGCCTTGCTCAGAGCCAACGATAATTTACTGCAATTGCATCACAACAGAAGATGCATGCCCCTAAGTTTTGCTGGTGGGTAGCTTTTTCCCCTGCCTAAGCATGCATGGATAACACAGCTATTTATGTGCAAACAACCTGGCATCACTCGGACAGTTACTGCCTTCCCCTAGTCTCCTGCGATCCGATTTAACGCCTCTCAAATCCCTTTTGATCTTAAGCTTCCGAGTGGGTCTTTTGGCCATTTTGCCTCCCGTGCAGAATACCTCCCTCCTCCTTTCCCCGGTGCATGACCCAAATTCCAGCTGTACATTCAGTCCCCTGTACAAATCGAGAGAGACAGAACATAATGCTCACCTCATTTATTGACAAGAATTGTCAGCGGTTGAGAGTGCAAATAAAAGGATTAATCTTGAAGAAAGCAAAAAGGGGGGAGGGAGAAAAGCCCAAGTCAGCAGCCGCCAGTGCAAGGAGCTAGCGCTGGCGGGATGCTCCGCTTCTGAGATGCTCTGATTACATTTTTTTTTTTTTGCATGTGCAGTAAGAACGATGGAGCCGTCCCTTCAGCTAAAATCATCTGCTTTAAAATGGAATCTCTCCTCCCATCTTCTTTCCATGAGCCATAGTGGAGGGGAAAACACCATAGCCTGGCTCTGGGGGATTTGGGGGACCTATGTGCCCTTGTATTCTGTAGCCATAGAGAAGCCCCTTCAATCCCTCCCATCGAGGAGGAGTTTCACGCTGACAGATAGGAAATCTTACCAATGGAAGCAAAAAGTCACCCAATTTACAGCCTATTGGAGAGCTTGGGAGAGAAAAAGGGGCAAGGGGACATGCCTTCCCCTCTAGGCCCTGGCATGGGGTGTAAAGTGCACTAGTCCTGAAGCTGGGAACCAGGACCTTTTTTTTCAATTGCATGAGGGCGTCCCGCGTCTCTTGACACATCTCGAAGGAATCTGGCTATGTCTGTGACAATTTGGCCGTTAATCTCCTGAAAACACATTACTGCCAAGATCCTTCCAATTCATTCATATGATTTGATGAGTGTTGCCAACTCTCACGATTTCATCACAAATATTTGGTGCTTTTTGTAAAGCAGCAGCTCTTGGATTCACATGATTACGTGAGAATCTCAGCTGTCCTGTAAAAACAAAAGTAAATTTCTGGCCCTCATTGTTTGTGCAGAAAAGTTTGAAAACATGACCCCCTGAAGAATATGACACTAAAAGCAAATAAAAAGATCTTATGAGTTTGGGGGATGGAGGGGGGCTGACTCATTCGTTTTGAGTGCTTGAGGATGGCAATATACAAAATGCAAACTCTTCTGACAAGCCAGCAATCTTTGCCTTCACCAATGGAAAGGAATGTTCTGAAAACAAGGCCTTTTCTTTAATGGTCAGACCAGGCAACCAGGAGCCAGGATTCCTGGGTTCTACTCCTGACTGCTGCCGACTCACTGTGTGACCTTGGGTGAGTCACTTGGCCTTTCTGTGCCTCGCTTTCCCTGCTCTGTAAAATGAGGATAATTATATTCACCTATACAGGAATGATTGGAGAATTAATTCTGTTTATAAGGTGCCTTGAGGACATTTTTTGTAAAATATTATTATTTTAAAGGGAGTGTCTGGATTAGATTTTTTTGGAGGGGGGAGGGGGAAGATGCTGGCCCCTTTATATCTGCTAGCTGGTTTCCCCATCAGTTTGTACTACACTTAGTATATTATCATGGTGTCCACTATGGCTATAGAAAAGTTTTTCTTATATGGGCAGGACATTTAAGGCATCCAAAATCAAAGAGCAATAATGAATAATCAATTACCTGTGATATAAAGTAACTGAAAGTGTGGAACTGATTATGTTTCCATCCAGTAATCAGTAACATGGAAACAATTCCTGCTCCACCTATGGATCCACGGCTTGCCGTGAATTACATTTTCCAAATGATGTTAATGATTTATTTTGTCTCAAGGACTTCTGACCAAATGTGCTCAGTTTACAAGTAAAACAACGCTTTCTCTACCAGTGCTGCAAACCTAGTAATTCTGATCCAGATAAAGTCTATCATAGGTGTTGGTAACACGTTGCTGACCTCTCTGCTGGATTCTGGAGCTGAACTGTAGTAAACAGTGCTTTTGATAATGTATGAACAAAAGAGAATGCCGCTCACTCTCCGGTCGCTAGATGCATTGGCTGTGAAGGGCTAATATCAGCAGATATGACTGATACACACAGGAGATAGATTTGTGAAGCAAGTAGATGCAATTCTGAAATTGTCAGTTTTCTGACGTCCCCATATTATTATTAAATTACCCCTTTTCCTAGACAGCCAGAGCTAAATTGGAACAGGGCTTGATCCTTTCCCCACTGACCTGAATAGTGCAGGATCGAGTCCAGAGAGAGAGAGAGCTCTAACAACTCTGCTGCTGGTTCCCATTAACTTGAAGGAAAAGCCATGAAAACAGGGGGTCTTTCAAATCATCCCTTTTTTGTTACTAAAAAATTGAGTTACTAAGTGAAAGTAAAAAACAGTATATACTACATACTCCAAATCAGCATACAGTGTACCTACATTGGATAATCTGCTGTAGTTTTAATTCCTGCAATAATTCACCAAATAGTTTAATCTGGGGAAAGCACGAGTCAGAAAACCTGTTGGATAGAGTAACTGGCCCAAGAACAGCTGCTTTACAAACATCCAACCTCATGACTCCTCGGGGGAAGTAGTAGTACCATTCCAGGCACAAAGTTGTTGCTTTGTTAAGTGACTTGGCTAATATCATAGAGCAGTTCTGCAATGGAGGCAGGACTAGAATCCAGGAGTCCTGACTCCCATTCCCTCCTCTAAGTACAAGACAATATTCATCTCCAATTCTCTTTGTTCTTTGGCAGCTCCCATTATTCCAATAACAGGATCAGGGAATGAAAAGCCCTGATACACCAGCGCATGGCTATTCCAGGCATATATCTAGTGAGTGCATAATTAAGTGATAACCCTAAGAGGCCTAGCAATGAGGAAAAGGGCAAAGCATCTCCCGCAGCCATAATGAGCACCAAGCCTGTGCACTTTTGTGTCACTTCCACTGCACAACCCCTGTGTCTCTCAAATCGGTGTTTCAATCCTGGAGCTAACAGAAGCAAAGAAACAGCCCAGAACTGTTGCCAGCAAAATCATTTTGACAGAAAATGTATTAAGAGTTTTTTAATAATCCATCATGGCAAAGAGCCCACAGCCCTGTGTTGTGGTGACGATGGATACACTAGGGTGGCCAGACATCCGGGGAACTGCAGGACAGTTCCTTGTTTATGAACATCAGTTCTGTGCTTCCATCTCCGTTTCTGAGGGATGAGGGACAGGGACAGAGAGAGACGTGATAAGAACAATGGAAGGGATCATATAAATGCAAATTATGATTTACAGTCAGTTGTATCTAGTGTTAGAACAGGGAAGGCTGGGAGTCAGGACTCCCATGTTCTACTATTCCTTGCTGGAGGTGCATGTGTGGTCCAGGGGTTAAAGTAGGGGAATGGCTTCTTTTCTCAGCTCTGCCATGGACTCTGCACAGCCTTAGGTAAATCTCTTCTCTGTGCTTCAATACCCCTGTCTGAAAAATGGAGACACACCTAACTGACAGGAGGGAACGGGGATTGGAAAGCTCAATTCATTGTTCGCAACCTGCTTTGGGTAAGATGTGTAAGTGCATCAGGCACCCAACCACTCTTGAAATTCAATGGGAGGTGGGTGCCTAACTCCCATAGGCTTTTTTTAAACGTCACCCTTCAATGCCACTGGACGAAAGGCATCATATACAGATAAGGGATTCTATGAAATATTATTATTGCACAGTGTGTAATATGACAGATGAGGAGCTACTTACCCCATTGGGTAGAGGGGAACATCTCACACTGTGGTTAAGGCATCACATACAGAAGCTTTGCTTAGTTGATGCTTAATTCAGATCCTCTCCAGGCACCAAACCCTTGTGTTACACAAAATGTCAACCACTTAGTTTTCACTCACTGCCTTCACCCTATGCAATACACAACTTTGAATGAGATCTGGCTTTTCAAAGGTGACTCTCTAACAATAGTCTTCATCCTTGTTTATGTCAGACCACTGGCTTGATTTTTCAGAGATTCTGAGCATCCCCATATTGAGTTCAATGAAGGCAGAAGGATCAGGCCCAGTGATATCACATTACTTGAACCTCTGGCAGGTCTAAACTCAGGGCTCCAGAAGTGAACAGCAAATTGCAGTAACTCGCTTCACCACACAGGGCCAAATCCAGCACTTCTGTAAGCTGATCAACCCCACTGAACCCAATGAGAGTTGCTCCAGGGTTAAATCTGGCCTTTAGTGCACCATTTAAAGACCAGATTGGGATTTCCGTAGCTGCACCTTGCACCACTGGTTCATACTGGGCCTTTGGCTCCATAAAAGGTGCCCTCTCCTCTGTGTGCCCCAGGTGCAAATGAAATTTCATACAGGTTTCTTTGGCAGGAACTGGAGAGATGTTTTGGGATGGTTGTCCCCACCCTCTCCAGGAAACTCCCACTTCAACCAGACTAAGACCACGATCTTGCAAGTCATTCTATGTGGACAGTCTCTTGTACCTGCACGGAGCTTGTGACAATTCCTAGCCTCCCGCATCTCTAACTATTACAGGGGAGAACCCAAGAGTACTGACTCCCCTGCGCTAACCCACAAGACCCCAGAGCCAGGGATACAACCCAGGAATCCTGGCTCCCAGTCCCTCCACTCTAACCACTAAACCCCGCTCCCCCCACATAGCTGGGATGGAACCCAGGAGTCCGGGCTCCTAGTCCCTCCACTCTAAGCACTAGACCCTATAGCTGGGACGGAACCCAGGAGTCCTGGCTCCCAGTCCCTAACCACTAGACCCTGCTCCCCCCACATAGCTGGGATGGAACCCAGGAGTCCTGGCTCCCAGTCTCTCCACTCTAACCACAAGACCCTGCCCCCCCATAGCTGGGACAGAACCCAGGAGTCCGGGCTCCCAGGCTTTAACCCACAGGCCACCCTTCTTCAGGGCAGGGGGCGGGGCCCGTTTCCATGGCGACCCCCGGCCCGTGGGGGCGGGTCTGAGGAAACAGGGCAAGGCGGGAACACCGGGCCAGCCGGCCAGGGCCTGGGGCTCAGCGCACCCCACGGAGTGCCTCGGCTTGGCACGGAGAACTACAGACCCCAGAAGCCCTTGCGGCCTCGGCGTGACCCGGAGAACTATATGTCCCAGAAGCCCTTGCGGCGCCCCAGCCCCGCGTGGCCGCGGGTTGTGATAGGCCCGGCGGCGGGAGCCAATAGGCCCGGGCGTTGTTTGGGGGGGACGATGGCTTTCTTCACAGGCCGCCTGGGCCGCCTCTGGCCTCTGCCTCCCGGGGGCAGGTAACGCGCGGCTGCCGGAGACCCCCCCCTTCCCCTGGGGGGCTGAGTGGGTGAGGGGCAGGCCAGGCCGGGACGGGGGCTGAAAAGGGGGGACTGGAAATGGGGTGAGGGGCAGGACAGGCTGGGGGGGGGGGGCAGGAGAACAGGGACTGGAAATGGAGTGGGGGGGGTCAGGGCTGAAAAAGGGGGACTGGAAATGGGGTGAGGGGCAGGAGGTGAGGGGGACAGGGCAGAAAAAGGGGGACTCAGGAGGGGGGACAGGAAGTGAGGGGGAGGTCAGGGCAGAAGAAGGGGGACTGGAAATGGGGTGAGGGGACAGGGCAGAAGGGGGACTGGAAATGGGGTGAGTGGAAGCTGAGGGCAGGAGAGAGGGGGTAAGTGTGGCAGGGAGGAAGGGGTGGAGTGGGGGACCTGGCTGCAGATGGGGAGGATGGGAGGTCAGAAGCAGTGATGACCCTCTGATCAGAGGGATGCTGTGTGTCACTGCATTGGCAGAGCCAAGAGAGAGATGGATGACCACAGTACGGGGCAGGGGAGTGTGGTACCATTGGCAAAACTGTGTTGCCGAAGCAGGGCCAGCATCTCTCTCCACTATGTTTGGCTCGAATGAATTATCAGAGGCCCTTATTTAACCAGTTATACCTCCAGAATTGCATTATTAGAATGAAGTCTCAACCCCCCCCTCCCCCCCCCACTGTGTTTTACACATGGTGCTTAGATTCCAAACTCTAGGTCATTGTCTTATTTCCTGTTAACCTCTTTCTATTGTTTTTTCACTCTACCAAGCTTCTTCCTGCTGCAGCGCGTTGCAGCCTCCCCCTCGCAGCCCAGGACAATTTCCATCCTCTCAGATGCTTTGGGGCAGCCTCCAAGCACCAGCCTGTCCTTCAGATCTGCAGGCATCTTCCAAAGCATCCCTAGACACCTGTCACCATGGAGCCTTCAACAAATACGCACCAAGGCACGCGGGAATGAATATCAACCAAAGAACCTCAAGCGCAAGCGGACCCATGGGTGGATCAAGCGTATTAGAACTCCCAGCGGGATCGAGGTGATCCTCCGACGCATGCTGAAAGGCAGGAAATCGCTGAGCCACTGAGTGTTGTAGCTGCAGGATCTGTTGAGCATGAAAAGTTTCAGTCAAGCCTGAATAATCATCCGCAACTCAGACCTTTAGAGTGAACCAGCCTGAGAGTTTGCAGTGACATAGACTTCTCTATGTAACACCCATGAGCGACTGACTATTCCCATCATGTTATAACATGTGGTGAAGAATTACTGAGTCTACTTTGACAGATGTGGGATGCTGGTTTTCTTTTCCACTGGCTTCACTTGATGGCTAATTATTTTAATGGCAAAATTATTACAACTGGTGGGAGTAGTTCTAAGGTAAAAATTGTGCATCCATGAGGCGTAATTACAAAATAATAAAAAATCATATCAAGCTTCCTGCATTAAGTTTGTTAATGCAAAGCTATAGGGGAAGAAAAACTGTTTTACTTCTCTTTTTTTTTTCTTGTGGGAGTAGCAGGCACACTTTCTTCTTTCTTTAGAAGCTTTAAGGGATGAGTTTTCAATCTGTGGATGTGCAATTAGCGTTAACCACAAGGCAAGGTCTGTGACTACTCCCCAACGTACCCAGCGAACAGTATGCTGTTGACTCCGCTCCCCTCTCCACTCCCCACTCCTTAGAGGACCCTATCTAAGGACCCTATCTTGCAATGTGCTGAGTGCCCTCAGAGCCGTTTGAAGAAAATGAGCACCTTGCATGACTGGAGCCTAAAGCAAGCATGGGGTAGGGTTCTTTTTTCTGTCAGTTTAGGGCCAAATCTTGCAAAGGAATATGTGCCCATGAAGTGTCCCATTGCAGAAAGTGGGGCAGCCACAGAATCTACTTGCGTAGACTTAATTGCAGGATCTGAACCTAGTGGTGGAGCTGCAGTCCTGTTATAAACTACAGCAGCAGTGCATGTTGATTTTGTTTTCCTGTTGCTCTGTTAGCAAGAATTCCTTTTGTCATTGGGTAAAGATTCCAATGCCCAGCTTCTTAATGGCACCTGAAGAGTGCCCCAACACCTCACTTAGCACACTTTGGCTTAGTTTGCTGCTGTGTGGGGGTGAAATTCACATCTGTGCCCAAGAGCCCATGCAGGGCCCCTCTGCATTGCCTAAGTTTTCCACTTAGTCCCTCAGTTTAACACTCCTTGGAGCATAGGCTTTGCAAAGACCTTCTGTACTGGGGTGAATTTCACACTGAGTGTGTGAGACTGTGAGAGCTTTTAAGAACAGAATCTACAGTCTATTTTCAGGATTCTCTAAATACATGGATCAAAATGCAGGGTTTGTTCAATTTAAAAAAAAAATTGACATTGAATAGAAATGTCCCCATGGTATCTTAGTTTTTTAAAATCAAAAATTGTTTTAATTATTTAAACATTCCTCTAAGGTGTTACAAATGCAAGCAGAAGACAGACTCTAAAGCTGACAAGTTTCAGTTTCCCTCTCCAAGTTTAATGCAGTGTGACAAGTATGCGGGGCTTACTTGAGGGGAAATTAGATGCAAAAACTACCACTAATGCAGCTGTAAAGGTGAGATTCAGGTTCATGATATTCAGGAAATTCCAGAGGTTGAGATTTTCTACCACAAAGTGAATGTAGCCAGATTAACAATCAATACAGGAAGGCCTGGAGCCACAAAGTGTCCATTATAGGTTCCTTACTCTTCAGGGACTGAGCTTGAGATGTCTTGAGGTGATTTTATAAACCTTTCAAGATGACTGTTAAAAATGTTGGCCTTGATACTTTAAAGTGGAGAGGAGCCTGAACCTCTTTGGGACAGCATGTGGGGCAAGGAGTTGGGGCCTGACACAGCTCTCACACATGTCATCTCCTTCCAGAGGAAGTTCAACAAGATAACTTCCTTACCCTGACTCCTTAGCACTGGAGGAATCATATGTAGAAGTCCCCATGAGCACCAGTCATGGTCATTTCCAGAGCCCTCAATTTGAAAAATGGGATCCAGTAGGAGGAAGGTGGTCAGTTGTGCTCTAGAGTCAGCTGTAGGGGAATCTAAGAGCAGAACTAATAATTCAGCACCCCAAACATCTGACAGCCCCTCTGCCTATGATAAACACAGTTTGGCATGATCCCTGAGAGGATCACTAGCTAGTACAATGGTTGGTACTGTATAAATTCTGTAGCTACTGAGATGGCTGGCTGAGGTGAGCGAGTTTGTTTATGGGGAGGGACCTTGCTCATTTGGTACCTGTTCAAGGAGCACAACATATCTTTTTATTAAAGGTTGTAATCCTCTCCAGAGGCATGTAGGAAGGGTACAACTTATAAATAGAAGGATTATGTTGCTTTCCCCTGATAACACCGCCTCTGTTTATTGCATTTCAAGCATACTTTAATAATGAAAGAGAAACTGAGGCTGAAGGAAGCTGGATGATTGGGAATGGGTTCCAGTACTTTTTCCATTTCAGGCTTGGGACTCTTAAGCAAAGACTGCCAACTGTACATGATTTTTCAGACTCTTGTGATGTGCAAAAATGCCTGCTAGGGCCCAATACTATTTTTTTGTGCAAGGATCTCAAAGTACTGTGCTAATTAAGCCTCGCAACCCCCAGTGGCAGAGAGATATTCTCCCTATTTGTCAGAAGAGGAAACTAAGGCACAGGCTGAATTTAAGGAAGGGCTGAGCAACCACAGCTTCCATTGAATGGGAGTTTCAGGTCTGCAGCACTGCTGAAAAATCCCTTGTCTAAGACCACAGCTGGCATCAGAATTAGAACTCAGCAGCTCCTTGATCTCAGGACAGTGGTTGGGCTTAAGGCCCTGGTGCGCTTCCTTGAAATGAAGGGACTCCTACAGAGCATCATTCCAACTGTGTTTATAACCCATGTAATATATGCAGAAAGCAAAGTCCAGTTGAAAAGTCCAGCAAAACACCTGCCAACTCAGCCAGAGAAAGGATGGAAAAAGGCATTAGTAAGAGGCAACTCTGTTTTTATAACATATCTTCTGTCCTTACGTTTTTAATGGATCTTTGGCATGGAATGTGGAGAAATTAGAGGTGGAAGATACTAACGCTATCAGATCGGTGGCCAATGCAGGATTGTTTCCCACAGTCTATTTGCCTGGGGTTTGGCAAGTCCTAGTTTTAAATGTCTCTGTTTAGGGAGCTTCCGCTCTTTCTTTCAGGAGTAATTTCTCACAGCCTAATCGAATACTCATCCTTAGGAACTTTCCCCAGTGTTCTGCCTAATGTCCCATTTAGCCCTTATCCAAAGTTTTGTATGAATGGGGTAGCAGCATCTGTTCTTCATATTTTGTTTTTCGTCCGATGTCAAGCTGCTTTTTAGGAGTTTAGCTATGATATCTTAAATTGACCTTTGCTGTGGCAACTCCTAGGATATGGGACAGGTTCTCAGGAGGTCTTTGTCTCAGTTCATTGCTCCTCATTTTCAAAATTAACCTGAAAATGCTGTTTGCATTGGTGTTTTTCAGTGTTAGCCCCTTTGCAGAATGCTTCCTCATTTGTAAAATATGGGTCATTCCCCCAGCTAATGGCACCAATTCCTGTGGAATGGGTATGAAGATTTCCCCTTGTCCCACATGGAAGGTAGTGATGGTGAATCACTTCCCTCAATGGCATTGATAGTGGCAACAAATGTACACCAGGCCACCAGGAATTTAGCACTGGAGACTGACCAGATGATCCTGTCAGCTGTAATTGCTACAGCAAGTGGAGAACACCTGTGAAATAGCTTATTATTGATTTAATATTGGTTATTGACTTTTCCAGTCTTGATTTACGGTCAGATCTGACAATCCGATCAAGTAGTACTGAACTGTGGATACAGGGGTTTGCCCAAGCACAGCAACTTGCAAGATCAGAGCTTTATTAATGAATGAGTTCTTAATTATGAGAGCTTGATAATCAATGACTTAATTTGAGTAATTTTGATTATGAAATATTGGTTATTAATGTTTACTCTTTGGAATCTATGGCTAAGTTTGATCAAATGGTGGTGGCTATAAGCCATTACTGATAGTTAATTCATGATCATTAGTAACATATAATTGACTAATTATAATTTGAATACTGATACTTATTAATCATTGATTATCATGTGTTTTTGCATATATCTTAATTATTGTTATTAAATACCTGTTTGTTAAGAACGAACCATACATTATTATTGATCCTGGCAGCAGTCAATGGCCTCCTTCAAGGGAAGCCAGGTGTTCGTTACTGGGACTACAGCTCCCATGAAGCAGCGCGGCCGGCCCCACATCCGGGTCCTTTCCTCTTCCTCCCGCGAGCCTTAGGGGCCAGGGCGGGCATTTCCTGCCTCAACCTAAATGGCTATTTTCTTGGCAGCTTTGAGGGACAGAACCGGTGGCCAATAGGCCTGCAGTCTTGGGCAGAACCAGCCAATGGGAGCGCGCGTGTCCGGGCGGAGGGGCGGTCCGGGCAAGGAGGCAAGTTAGGTTGAGGAGTGGGCTTTTGGAAGTTGCCGTGCGGCTGAGGCAGCGGCGGGGAAGATGGTAGGTGGCTTGTGCCCCCCCCCCGCCCCCGATACAAAATGGCGGGTGGGGGAGGCGGGGTGCTGGGTCTGCAGCCTCGGTAGCCATGGGGACCCCCCAGGGAGAGGGCCCCGCCCCCGGCCTGCGTGGGGCGAGGCTCCCCTGGGGTGGGGCCGCCACGGACACCCCCCTCCCCCGCCCGGGCTGTGGGGCAGGCGCCCTGGGGTCCCCTGAGGGGAGGGTGTGTGAGGGGAGACAGCCGCCGCCGCCCTGGGGAGCCCCCCAGCAGCCATGGGCCTCCCCTCTCGGGGCAGAGCCTTCGCCCCCCTGCAACGCCCCCCAGGGCCAGCGCCTTGTTTGGGGGGGGGCTTGGTGATGGGGGGGGCTGGGGCACCCAGGGGCCGCCCATGGCAGTCCCCTCCCAGCTCCCCCAAACAGCAGTTTCCGGGCCGGCTTATTCAGGGGGGGAGGGGTGATTTTTGGGGTGCGGGGCGTGACTGGGGGAGGGGCTGCAGCAGCCGTAGGCTTCCCCTGGTCGCCTTCGCTTGCAGCCCTATGGCCCGTCCTAGGGAAAGGGCTTCAATGTTTCCTTCCTGGGCCTGGTTAGCAGGGAAGGGGGGGCTGTGATTCTCCCCCCCCCCCCCAATTCAGGCCGAAAGCCGGAGGTAGCTGCGCTCGGGGGTGGGGCTCCTGCATCTGCGGTTCTCTCCGCCCCCGGCTTCATCTTCAGCATCTCCATCCCCAGGGGCCTGATGTGTCTGAGCGGGATTGCTGCGTTCCCTCCTTAGGATGGAGGGACTGGGGCAGATCTGGCCTCTCCATCTCTCTGCTTAGAGCTGTGGGCTCCGGCCCTAATGGGATTTGTTGTCCCATTCTCAGGAAACTGCTTGGGGGTGGGGTCTTGCTGACATGGGAGAGGCAGATGCAGCCTTGTCTCTGCCTCCCTCCTCCAAGCAATAGCAGTGGGAAACTATAGCGAGACTCTCCAGGCAGCAGCGTCGTCCCAGATGCATCTGGGGTTACTGCTGTGGCACCTTCCCCCCAAAATAAATGGGGAAACGCCTCAAATGTGAGGATCTGCTTCATTTCTTGACTCCTCAGGACATTCTTCAGCTCTCTTGGTTTGACCGGGGCATTTTCCCTCTTTGCCCTAAAGAAAAGAAAAAGGCAGAAAGCTGAAAGAGAGAAGTGCCCCCCTTTGAATGTGTCGGCAGTTTTTTTAGAATCACTTTTGTTTTCCTGCTAATATCTCAGTTATGGTGGTTGCCCAGTAAAACGCTTCCAGTGGTGTTGGAGTTGAATCATTCAAATAACTTCTGCCCTGGGAAAAAATAGGGTGGTGGCTAGTAACCAGGGAAACTCCAGCTCTCACTTGTTCCCATTAGACTGGAGCTAAGGTATCTTGGTGCTGCATGTAGTGTTAAATGACTAGCTAGATTCCTGTTTGCAGATGTGTAATTCTTTGGCCTGGGTAAGTCTGGTGTCCGTCTTGCATTTGTCATTTTTAATTGGAGAAGCTGAACAATGAAACACAATCTGCAGAAATTATTCCTTTAAAAAAATCCTGCATAATTTTCATACCGTTATTTTAATGGCTGTCATTTTGAAGCTTCATCCTATATTTGGACTCTCATAAACCGAGATACTTAAATGTGAAGACAGCTGTACGTAATCTAGTAGGCACCTAGAAACACATTACCATGAAAGTAATTAACTAGGGTGCCTGCCACCCCTTCTTATTCTGGGGATGAGGGGAGGGAAGAACTGCTTCTTTTGGATGTTTGATCAGTTTTTATTGCCCTCTGTCAAAATGGATTTCAACTCTGTTCTTTACAATAATTGATTCACTGTTTAAAAGGCATTTGTACATTAGTAGGTCAAAATGTATAATGTGTGAATGGGGACATGGCAGAATAATTGAAAACTAATGTTGTTTTAAGCTGTCTTGCAACCTGTCCAAAGCAGTGCTAAGGAGTTTATTTCGCATCTTGGAGAAATATTTAGCCCCCATCTTTAAGTACTTATAATGATTCTCAGTGGGGAAGCAACATTGCTTTTTAGTGGATGAAGGGGAAATTATGCATGTTAGGAACATATGCTGTATGTGATACAATCCCATTTCAGGCCCAGTAGTTTCACTCTTTATGGAGATAGCCTTACTTTAGGACTCATCAGGAGCCAACACCAGCTTTTCAGTTTTCTACCACCATTTCCTGAATAAAATGACTAGTTCTGTTCTATATATTTTGTGTAAAGTCAAGGAGTGCTACAGAAACGTGTTGATGTCTTGGGGTCCTACATGATTAGAAAGTACAGTTTTCCTCTCCCAAACTTTAAACTTTTTTCTTTTTACAGTGACTAGTTGCAATTATTGATCAATTCCTTCTTGGTCAGGTCTCCAACAGTATAGTTGTTGGGAGAAATGGTTTTCTGAATTTGCAGCTTGACCCAACTTTTCTTTGTGCAGAACCCTTGAAGTGTGTGTCTGCCTGTATGTATCCAATGAGCCTATTCAGGTGTGGTGTAGAGAGAGACAATCCTTTGATTGATAGGTGGATTGGGCTAGAGCCCATTTCACATTTTGAAACGGGGGTTGAGCTGTAGCTTATTAAATACCTGAAGTAGCGTAAAATATTATTTATAAATAATTACACTTTCAGGTTATTTTTTGTTGTGTCAAATAATCGCCTGAGTTCGGTGTAATATAATGACTCAAAGGCTTTTCTGTCTGGGCCTAGCCTAATGTAATGGTGCAGATATTCCGTTTCTTGCAACAAAGTGCAGTGAAAGGCTGAACAAAATTAAATGGTTTGGAGTGGGATGTGTTCAAAATTCTCCACTCTAAATAAACAGAGTAAGAAACATACCTGGGAATTGATCAAAATTCCCATCAAATACTCACTAGCTCTAGTATGTAAGAACTCAATTCTAAATGGGGTGAAATGGGATTCTAAGTCAGTGAAATATGCCTGGATGTTAGTAAGAGTAATAATATTAAGAGGCTCTATATCCTTTTCACAGTCATGAAACTTTCAGATTGAGTATTCTGTAATCAAAACCAACCTTGGGAGGTAAATGAAAATGAAAGAACGTAAACAAAGCAGCCCATCACAGGAGGCATAACAGTTGGCACGCACAGCAGAATCTGAAAACAAGTTTAGGCTCTACTGGAATAGAAATAAAGACCAATTTACATCGTGCTTTCATTGTGCAAGTCATACAGAGAAACAAGAACCTGCCCTGAAGAGCTGGCAAGCACTAGATAGACACGGCAGATAAACGGTGGGAGAAAGGAAGTAGTATTGTCCCCATTTTACAGATGGGCAAAAGAGGTTAGTTATTTGCTCATGGTTGCACAAAGAGTCTGTGGCAGAACTGGAAACTGAGACCCAATTGGTTGAGTCTAAGGCCTTGGCTACACTGGCGCTGTACAGCGCTGCAACTTGCTGCGCTCAGGGGTGTGAAAAAACACCCCGCTGAACGCAGCGAGTAGAGCGCTGTAAAGCGCCAGTGTAATCAGTGCCTGGAGCGCTGCACGCTCGCTCGCAGTGCTGCAAGCTATTCCCCTCGGAGAGGTGGAGTACATACTACACTCGCGCCTCACAGCCGCGGCAGTGCTGTGAAGTCCTGAGTGTAGCCAAGGCCTCAGACCAGTGCTGTAATCACAGGACTATTTTTCTCCTAAAACCAAGCTTGCGAGGGGATACATTTGGAAACCTTAATGTAATTAACTTTTCTTAAAACAAGATCAAAGTATAAATAGTGCTTCGGAGACGTCCTGACTGGAGCCCATTGCTTTGAATAAGCTATGACAGTTACAAACAGAAAAGTAATTGTTCCCGTTAAGAGATTTTTAGCTCCTTCCGCAACAGCAGCATTGCAGGAGGACTCTTATCTTCTCCTTGTTGCATGTGACATGGGTTGAATAACTCTGCTCATTAGAATTATCTGCCTCTTTGCTAATCTTTAGAGTTGCTTCTAAACAAGATAATATATTAAGCTTATATTGTAAGTTCTGGGGCAGGACCTGTCTCTTTGTTACATGCATGTGTTATGCCTAGCATAATGGGGCCATAATCCTTGACTGGGGCCTCTAGGCTTGACTCCAGTGCAGATATTCAATCTGCTTTTAGAGAGAGGGGTTTAGACTAGTTATTTTCCTTCATGGCCTTTCATACACTCATCTTCCTTACTTATTTTAAGGACCCACAATTCATAGATCAGGACCCCATTGTAATAAGCACTGTACAAACACACACAAAAAAGACAATTCCTTCCCCAAAGAGTGCACTTAATGGCTTCTTGTGATATCTGCCCCTTGCTTCCTACTACTTAAAAGATGCAGCTGTTGTCAGGAGTCTTTCTTTGCGCTAGATATGTTATGACTGAAGAGGCTTCACGGTGGTTCCGGATCTGGTATACTGCTGAGTTGATTACCATAATGCCCCCTTTATTGCTTTTAAGACAAACACCCCTCCATCCATATGAGTTTAGCTTGGTTAACTGGGGGTAAAGGGCCTCTTCAGGGCCACTGCTGCTGTTATGCTGAAATGCTTCCCGTGAGGCAATGCTGCTGTTGGTCAAGTGTGTTACTCTGCTATGAAGACTGAACCAGACCTACTCAAGAACTTGGGATTCTTTGCCTGGAATTCACCATGGATTGTGGGCCGGATCCTGCACACAATTACCATTGACCCCACCAGGAGTTACCTCTGTGCCAGGGCTGCAGAATTAGGCCATTGAGGCTGTGTAGTTCTTTTGCCTTCCTGAGACAGGCTCCTTTGTGTTTATGCAGCTCTAGTAACAGCTGTCAGTTTGACTGTGCATCCTAGGCCTCCTCTGTGCTGAGGATTTTATCTGCTGGTGTAGCTATACTGGAGTAGGCACCTAGTGTGCAGATTGTGTGTAGCGAGTTGTACTGGTAAGTTCCATCGGACAGGTTTACATATATACGTATATTCTAGGGAGTTGCTTCAATGTAGCTACCTTGTTTGAGAACTCGGCTCATTTTAACGAGTAAACACCCTTTGTAGAACGACTATGATGTATTAGGTGGAAGGTTAATAGTTCCGCTGTCAGGTTCCCCCACTTTTCAGGCCTTAACAAATCCAGAGTGTTGGCATTAAGAATGCGTTTTGGCTGTTGAGATCTTTTAGCTAGATGGCTGCTTGCTACAGGTTGGGCAAATTAATTCTTTCCTACTTAATCCCTTTGCTTTACTGAGTACACAGTGATTCAGTATTTCATTGTGCAGTTACAGGTCTGTCTCGAAGTAAAACTCAAGGATACGGTCAAGTCAAAATTGACCCAGAACTTTAGCAAAGTGAAACCAAAATAAATGCTTGTGATTTTTTTTTTAATTTAATGAAACTTTGCAACTCAAACGTAACAGCATTGTACTAGTGCATATGAGCCAAGAAATCAAAGCTGCTTGTATTTAAAAGTAAAAATGTCTGATCTATTTTCATTGTTCAAGCTGAGGTTCAAAAGAGTATGCAACATAAATAGCAAAAATGTAAATAGATGAAGTTTTGTTTTTGTTTTAATCTAACCTATCTAAAAGCGCTAATTTTCTTTAAATGATTAACTTGACAATTGCCCCCTTTTAAATCAGTCATTATGCTTCTTAAGAAGTGATTTCCCCAGTTTACCATCTTAGTCTTAAAAATGAGACCTTACTGCACATCTACATTTAACTAGTTTTGTTGTTGTTTTTTTAAAAAAGCCCTTGCCATCAAAATGGATGTAGCTACAACAGAACCTTTCACTGGAGATTCATAAGTCACTTAAGTTGGGGAAATAGAGATGAGACGTACACATAGGACTGCAGGATTTGTCTTAAGAAAACCAATGTTCATTCTGAATATTTGGTATTTGACCTCGTAGCTGTCAACATACTTCCAAATGATTTAAAAAAAAAGAGAGGCATTATTGACATGTGCAACTCCCTTGATCTTTTTGCTCATCTACTATTTTTATTCGTTACTTGCTTCACTGTTTAACCAAAGCTGTCTTCTGTCATTTTAGGCAGATTTTTTGAAAGGATTACCAGTTTACAACAAAAGCAACTTCAGTAGATTTCATGCAGACTCTGTATGTAAAGCATCGGTGAGTATTATATCTAAATTCAATCTCTCAGGAGATGATCTGTTTGCAGTGAAGTCTTGCAGAGTTGCAGAGGACACTGGTGCTTCGTATGGCCTCTAACTGGGCCTTGGGTCTCTTAAAATAAGTTATTACTGGTATCCTCATGAGCTACAACTGCTTATCTGAGATTGGAATACCAGGAGGGGAGATTTCCCAGACATGAAGTTAATGTACTTCAGAAAAATGCAATATCAGCAGAGCCAAAGCTGTGTGGCATTCCCGCCCCATGTTTTTACGCTCTTCGTTTAACATTGGTACTGGGGCGCATATATGATAAATGGACCTCTTTTTACATGTGAAAGAATTTGCAGCTGCGTGGTACAGTGAGACTGTGGTATGCTGCATTTCCACAATTTTATAGCAGTGCAGTTGAGATGAACTTGCTGTCAGGACTGAGATCGTTCAACAGCCTTAGTTGTATGTGGAAATTTGGTGGTTTTTTGTGTTTTCCTCTGCACTGTAACGATTCTAATACTTCTACAGAACAGAAGACCGTCAGTATATCTTCCCACAAGGGAATATCCATCTGAACAAAGTAAGTATGCTCCTTCTATGTTTGAAGCTTCACGTGTACTAGAACTTTTATTTTGTGTTTAATATTAAACGTTTGGCATGTGCTCCATCTCACTTGATAGCACAAAACAGGATTGTGTTTTTAAATCTGTGTCAGATTTAAGTGACTCGAAAGAGTACAGATGCTTAACTTTTGTGTCCGCTTTTGCACATCTTTTTCTCTATCCTTATTGAATGATTGTAGGACAATTAAAGCGACAGTGATGCTGTCACTCCTTTTTAAAAGGTTCACTACCTGTATGAAGTCTTGGTCACTGTAGTTTGTTTTAAATGTTATCTCTTTGAAATGCCTTCAGAGTGTTTTTTCTTTCTTCAACAGTCATAGTAACAGAAAAGACAAACATACTTTTGCGTTATCTACATCAGCAATGGGACAAAAAGGTATGAAGTTCTATATTTAAAATAGTCATATCTGGTTTTAAAGTGCAATTTGTTTTGGTTGCTTCTACTGTGTGACCACCAATGCCTGTAATTAGTGACGGGAAAAATACATAGATACTAAATTAAGTGGAAGACTGAGCCAACCCTGGATTTCTCAATTCTACCAGAAGGTGCTTGTGATAAATTTTCTGTCGGTGGTAGACTTTTTTAGTTGCATGAAGAGTGAGAACAGAGGAAAGATGGTCCAATGACTAAGGCAATAGCTTAGAATTGGGAGGTCTCAGTTTGATTTTAGCACAGACTTTCTGCATGACCTTGGGCAAGTCACTTAGCCTCTTTGTGCCTCAGTTCCCCATCTGTAAAATGAGGATTTTTGGGGGGTACAGTTGAAACCATAGTCTATTAGATTGATAGTACAGGAGAGTGGGAGCCACGACTCCTGGGTTCTTTTTCTGGCTCTGCTGTTGACACATTCAAAGGCACCCAGTGAATCATTTCCACATACTGACCTGTAAAATCCTATATCTTGCTTACCTCACAGGGTCACATTGATAGTACATGCCAGGTATACATGTGCTATAAAAAGTTCCTAGCACACACCCTACCTCCGAGCTTGTGCTCTACATGCACAAGTGGGTACAATACAAGACACGCAAAGTGAGGAATGGTCATGGCCACAAAGCTTCCCAGAGCAGATGTAACTTCAGAATGTGTGTTTGGGAGGAGTACACGAAGGCTGTTCCAGAGGTACAGAGCAGCAAGAAAGCAGGTCGGAGGCTGGGAGTGGGTGAAGGAGACACAGGGAGCAACTGAGAGAAGTTTGGGCAAAGCATAGAGATGGGGGAGGAGTTGAAAGGAGAAACGTAGATGGGAGCAGAGTTGTCAGGAGTCTGAAGCTGATCATGAGGTGCTTCAGAGTGATGATGGAAGCCAGTTGGGAGGTTTGAGAAGTTCAGAGACTGAATCAGAGCAACAGGAGAAAAAGAGGGTCTTATTAAAGTTTATAAAGCACTTGAGATCCTTGGAATAAAAAGAAGCTAAGAACAAAGGATTGTCCTTTAGCAGCCCTGCTGGGGCAGGAGAGCATTTTACAAGGACAATTCAGTATATAATATAGTCCAGCTTTGGACAGAACTCTGGTGTTCACGAGAAGATGCCTCTGCTAGTTCATCTACATCAGCATCTTCCCTCCCAAAGACCTTTACCAACTACATATGCAAGATGTATCATTCAGTACGGAAATGTAGCCGTCTCTGGAGAGGAATGTTGTGGAGGACTTCATTGACGTACCTTTCTCTTTGCTTCAATCAGAATGCAGCAAAGAAGAGAGATCAAGAGCAAGTGGAAATAGAAGGTGAGAATTCAGCACCACCACGGAAAATTGCTCGGACAGACAGCCAGGACATGAATGAGGACACTTAAACTCTTGCTCTCTCCTACACTATTTTGCAGGCGCTTCCTGTTTTGTCTCAAAATGTGTAAATTTCCGTGCCCCTTTCCCCCCCCCCCTCCACTATGCAGCCCAAACCACTTCTGACTTCATAGGAGCCAATGTATTTATTTTTTCTCCAGTTTTTATTTATGCTGTAAAACGTACGGAGCAATCAATGGTGGAACAAGTCAGCAAATGATGTAGTGTAACTTTAATCTTTTAAAAAAACATACATTATCACTTTTCCAGATTTCATTAAATCTGTTGCTTAATTAACCCAGTTTGCCATGGAAGCCTGGAGAGGAGACATGAATTTACGGGATGCAAATTCCAGTGGTATAGGCTTTCTGATCCATATACCCACTGGTATATTACAGTAGTCAACTCTGTATTGGCTGTAACCAGTCTAGCAGTAATTTTTTTTGGGGGGGGGAGGGGGCTCATCCGCTCTGAAATGTGGATCCTAAAATCAGCACTGTACTAAGAAATCCTGGGGGTCATTTAGGGTTATGTTGATTTTATGAAACATGGTCAACTTGACAGAACAGTTGTGGGTTTTTTGTTCAGCAGCATGTTATCACACACGTCAATGGTCATGGAGAATTCAAGTGACAGGTGTGTTGCTTTGGTTGCTGTTACATTTTAACAGCCTTTTGGTCTTGAATGGACTGGTATGTGCAACTTCTCCATTGGAATAAAAAGGATACTTCTATCCTACTGAGTATTTGATCAACAGTGTCTTTAAAATGGCACCAGGTGGAATGGAATTGGTAGGTCTACCTTATAATCTTGTTTGTTAAATTTGAAAATCAAATTGGGTACAGCTTGTCATCTAGATTGGCTATTTCCTTTCTCTCAACCAGTGATTCTGAAAAATCATATATTGCATGACTGGAGCTGAGTCCAGGACTTCTGGATGCAAAGTAGCTGAACGAAATGAGCTTCTACAGTCTATATTAAAGACAGACCCTCTTTCATTTGGACAATGACAGTTCAGTGCCTGTCACCTGTAGCCCTTTGCTGACTATCTTCAGTAGGAGCCAAATACAAAACCCTCAAGATGTCTAAGTGGAGTCAAAGGAAACCAGCATAGTTGATTGAAGGTGTGTGTGTGTCTCTCACTATTGACTGTCCATTCCGCTTTTAATGTGAAAAGCAGAGTCTGTTGTTTTTAGGTTGAAATCTAGATTGTTGCCTTCCATTGCTCTTTTCCCAGCATCCCTGCTCATCCGCAAATTCTAAACAAACTGAGTCCAGAAGCCATGTGAGCCTCTTTCTAGAAAACCCTGGGCAAGCCTAGTTCTGTTGGGAGTTTGACCGTGGTGGTTAAACTCAGATGAAAGACTTGTGAAGACAGGGCTCATGCCGCCACCTTCACTACTGTGTCCCAATCAGGCCAGTGGACAGAGTAAAAGCATGATGGGAGTGAAAGCCATCAGCAGCACAGTTTATCTTATGAGACAGGACTTTGTGAGGAGCGGGACATAGCCTCACTTATTGCTGCAGTTTTACAAGTATGTACAAGGCGCTAAGCTCTGATTCTAGTATTAGTCATCTCACTTTTTCAGCGAAGATCATTAAGTTATTTAGACCTAAAATTGTACCTGCCCTTAAAATAGCTACATTTTGCTGCAGCAGTGCCCCCTCCAGATTATCAGGTTAAAACACCAGCTGTGTTGGTGAGGACGAAAATATGGCTTTACGATTTTGTGTTCTACTGGCAATTGCAACTTAACAGAACTCCTTTACCCAGAGCTGTGCTGCCAAAAAAAAAGATGCTGTCGTGTGAAATGCGAGAAGTAAACGGAAAATGCTGTGTTAGCTTCAAGGGCACGTGAAAAGGTTTGTCAGATACCAAAGGAGGAAATGGGCGTAGTGCCGATGACAGAAGTTTAACCAATGCTGTGTTTTTAGCTCCATTTGAGAGTTCCAGCCTCATTTGTCAAGCGCTGTTTAATTCCTTACTAAGAGAGAATTTGGAGCTTAGCTGACCTCTCTGCTACAGCAAGTGAAGTGCCATTGAAGAGTTGGCAGTTCCATCCTGTTCTTTACCCCCATCTTTGTTCCCTTTACAGTAAATGGGGCCTTGCTGGTCGCGGAGCCTTTGAAATCTTACAAATAAGGATTTTTTTGTTTAATTTACCAAACATCTCTGCACTTCACACTCTTGGTGGGGGGGAAATATTTGGCAAAGAGAAAAAAATAGTTGCCTTTAATTTCCTGAGAGCAAGTCTGAAGCAATGGGGAAAAAAACAGTACTTAAAAATTCTTGTGTCCTTTCCATCAAACTATTGCATTTTTGTTTTTGATGTTAACTGTACACAAGCAGCATGGATTTCTGATGCTCTCAAACAGGTATCGTTGCATTTTACTGAAAGTTTTGATAGTCTTGCTCAGCTGGTCAGAGTTATCTAATCTGAACTGAAAGCCTCCTCCCTCACCATCCAGTTTCCATGCTGCTAACGGCTTGAAAATGCCACCCTCAAGCTGCCAGACATTCAAAATGTTTCCACTGCTGTTTAATACATGTGTATTGGGTTTGTGTTGCATGTGAAAACCCTCCCAGCCAATTGATTGTCTGGTGACTTAGGCAAATCATACATGAAACAGAGATCCAGAACTTCTCCAACAGTGTTCAGTTTGTATAATATGTAGCTCCTCTAATACTTTCTGATTATCCTGTTACAAAGTGACTGGGATTTAGTGACCCTTAACGGGTATTTTGTATATGTCCGCATAGTGGTATTTTTATTGTTTCTAGTATTGATGTATATTGTACAAAGTTTTTATAAAACTTTAGAAGCTTGTCAAAAGGATCAGAAGAGAATTTTTGGAGTGAATAGTGTGACTCTTAGCAGAAATGGGAGCTGCAGGAACATATTTCCCTCTTTATTTCAATGAGAAGTGTAGAGGACGCTGGATCCTAGGAATGGCCTAGCAAGCATCTGCTCTCCCCTGCAAGGCAGATTGCCCCTGTACTGGATAGCATTGAAGGTTGTGCTGTCTCTCTGTTTAGCAGTCCCTCAGAGCGATTGGATGTGATGGGTAAATCTCAGTTATTTCAATGGTAACCATTGCCTTTTTTTTTTTAAACAAAGACTGGATGTAGTGGGCGTTATCACAAGATTAGTGACTGACAAGGCAAAACCAAAGATGTCTTAAACTAACTCCAGATATCAAATGTTGACTTCAGAGGAGTGTTTGAAGGGGTTTTAGTCTCTTCCCCTCCCCTGACTCCTAATCAACTTTAAAAGGTATTGAAGTTTGAAAGGGAAGTTGTTTATTTTTTAAAATAAATAAACCTTGGCACATGTTCCATTCCAGTGGTCATAAGTGGTCACATCTGCTCTGCAAAGGCCCTATTTATTTGTATCCGTGGTTGGCTCTTCAGACTTGCCAGTTGCTTTATTTTATCTGTGTACATTGTTCAGTGCTCAAGACATTTCCTTGAGCAAACACAGGAACATGCAAAAGAACTGCAAATACTGCTGAGGGAGGATGATCTGTTTTGAGTAAAACTGGCAGGCTGGTAAGGGCCACTACTGTTGGTGCTTAGAGTCTGAGAATGTTTTCAAATGCCGTTACTCATAAGAGCACTGAATCCATACTCCGTTACAAACCAAGCTACAATGGTGATCAGAAACATTGTGAAAACCCTGCTGGACGGGGTGTGTTTGTGAGGAAGAATCGACCAGTTCCCCTGTCTGTTTAAAACTTGGGCTAGACTCTGACCTATTTTCCCAGCCTAGCCAGGGCATGAGGTTTTAGCCTGGGTAGGGGATGTCTACGCTGCAATGAAAAACTCACAGCTGGCTTAGCCTAAAGGGCTGTTTAATTGTGCTGGAGCCCAGGCTCTAGGACCCTGCGAGGTAGGAGGTTCATAGAGCTCAGGCTGTAGTCCAAACAGCTACACCACAATTAAACAGCCCCTTAGCCTGAGCCCCACAAGCCCGATCAGCTGGCATGGGCCAGCCTTGGGTGTCTAATTGCAGGATAAACGTACTCTTAGAGGGCAGGGTGAAGATTCACCAGTACTGCTAAGATGGAACTGTTGTAACCAGGTTCACTGACAACCGCTGATCCCCTAACACTTGTTGCTGTCGTGTAGATTGGACCTTAAGTACCAAACCATACAAGCTGAAAACATGTTCAGACCCAGGTGCTGAGCGTGATTCTGGCTGACCCTGCAGAGTGGCGTGTAATTCTTTGAACACTGTTTACTATGGTCTGGAGCTCCAGAGAGGATGAGGGCCTATGTATCCATCTGTATGCTATTTGCATTGTTCAAAGAAATCTCTTGTGTACAGTCTGTCACTTGGGGGAGTGGGGGGGGTTTAAGCCTACTGAATCGAAGTACTGCTTTTTGTTTGCTTTTCTTGGGGGCTACAGGGTTTAGAAGCTCCCGGATTCTTGTTGGTTGGTGTCTTTCTCCAGGCATCATGACTCTTGTGCCTTATACAGTAATTCAGTTGTTAACACTTGGACTGTTTCCTGTGTTGAGGCAGAATTTTGGGGGCTTGCTGGAAAAATCCTACATCTGCTTCTGCAGTAGCGAGGATTACTTTAGAGGAGCTCATTTCAGAATATACCTTTTGAAAATTGATCTGGCTAAGCAGAAGTTGACGATGTAGATCGTGGACTGGTCATACAAATGGGCCTCGGTCATAAGCAAAGCTGCCATTTACCATCTAGCATTAGTCTGTTTATACCACTAATGTGACTTTATTTTTCTGTTTAAAAGATGTGCTTTTTTCTTTTTAGTTTTGCAACTATACTTTATATAATGGCCTTTTCTTTCTCTGATTTATTGACTGGCATCTGGCACCAGGGAAGTCGGGATTCTTGATGATTGTCCTCTGTAACTTTTGTGTGTTATAACTTCCAATGTATAAAAAGTGTGTGTGATTTTTGTTTTTAGAGGGCCAGGTATATTTGGGTTGGGGGGGAGGGCGGCGTTGAGGATTAGGTTGATAAACATGCCCAATAAAGGATACTGCATCATTTGTTTACTCAAGCACAGACTATCCTTCAAACCATATTGAATGCACAGTCAGCGATCTCCACTCAGCTGGTTCACAGATGTATGCGTGTCCTCCTTGTAGTGGAGAATTTAGTCATGGAATCTCCTCTAAAGATTGATCTGGTTCGGAGCACTGTTTAGTACCACTAACCTGCTGAGAAATGTGGGACCAAAGCCCACATTTGCAGGTAGGCTACTTGACTTCCTTACTGCCAATTGCAAGCTTGTGTAGAGTGGATGCTCATTAGAACCATACTACGGGCTCCCTGGATTACTCACATTTTACATCTACCAGCCTACGTTTCTCGTTTGAGAGGCCAGCAGCATTGTAGCTGTCTCCTCCACATTCATGGATGTGTGTGGATTCTTCAGTGGAGTTCAACATCACACTAGCAACATTAGAGTTGAACTTGCACTTCTTTTCTACTCATTCTAGTTTTCTTGTTACAAGTTTGGGATGAATATTTCCTTTGGGTGTAAAGAGGACTGAACTTGGTCTGTACAGGAGAGCAACTTTGTAATTGTGACTTTAAAAGTGGGAATGGACAAATGCCAACCTTCCCATTTGTTCTGCACTAAGATTTTTTTTTTTAAAGCAAAGCTTCTCTGCCCCCTGCCTGTGCCTGGATGTGGCGAGTGAAAAGATTAATCATATGTACAGATTGGCTTTTTCATTCAAACTGATGCAGTTTCAGTGATGATTCTTAGGTTCTGTAGAAGGGCAAACTACTACTGAAGGTCTTAATGTTTTTTGGAGGAGCCCTGGTGGACTTATCCTTTTATGACTGAGTTCAGCTTTTATCAGTGTAAACCTGGGAGTCACTAATCAGCTGGTGGGATAAAAGGGCCATGTTGTCAAAACTTTTTTGCTTGTTTTTCAACTAAAAATTAATTGATAGCAGAGGTGGGGTGGCTGAGTAAATCAAATGGCGTGAGTCAACCCGCACCGGGGTTCTAATGCTGTTCAGGCCACCTGTGTACAAATGAAGTTTTGTGTGTCACTATCTTTCTGTCTCCTCCACCAAACAAGCACACCCTTCAACTCAATTGGCATTCTGTGGTGAGAGAGGAATATCCAGACTAGAATAGCCGCCATGTTGGGAGGATGAATCTGCTTTAACAATGAGCTGTGCATGGTGAGGAGGTTCACCTGCACTAGATCTTTCTGGAGTTACTGCTTTGGCTCTCTTACGTCAGTGAAAAAGTTTAGTTTTGAGCGTGAACCGAAATTTTCTTGCTGGGTGTATAGTGATGACTTTTCACTGGCCAGCTTGTTGCTTCCCATATTATGAATACTACATTGATAACCGGTCCCTGTAGCTGTCCAGTGCATCCCAGTGCTGTAATCTTGTGGTTGGTTGTTTATAACACAAATCTAAATGTGTTTTTTCTTTTCTTCCTTTGGGAAGTGGAGGGAGATCTAACAGTGTAATTAGTCAAATACTCTTCCTTGCTTTGCTGAGTAATGTGTGTATAAAGATCGATATCTTCATCCCAGAGATACTAGCAAAGATTGGCCATTTAGTTATTTAAATACACATGCATACTTGGAGGAGGAGGGCAGAGTAAACTACTTCACTTGCTAGCCACCTGCTTTGTTCTGTGACGATGGCTGTCTGGCTTGGATTGCAGAAGAGTCCTGACAAAAATGGATATTGATTCTTCACTTAGAAGGAGAAGTGACAGAAAATACTGCCATGCAATCTGAAGGAATGATCCGTGGTGCTTGTCGGCTCTGCATCACCCTGCACAATACGGCTGGGCTGGACTTCCAAATACGTGTGTTTCTTACGACTTAGTGCAATGTGTATAGTTAAAAAGGCTTTACTGGGTTTTTTATTAAGACTAATCTACGTAGTCTCCTTGGTCAGTTGCATGTAACAGCTGAATGTATGGGATTGGGCTGTATCTTTCTAGCCATCCCAAATTGCTTTTACGTCCGTTACAGTCTGTCTGGAATACAAAATCCCAGGATGATTTTTTTTTTGGCAATACACAGTGTATCCCTTGGAGCCTGTATTACTTACAACCTGTCTTTCTGCTTGTGAACAAGAAATACCTGCTGCGTTCCAACTCAACCTCTTCCCCCTTACTCTTTTTGCAAACACTGTGTCTGTGGGGCAGGGGGCAATGTGTTCTCCTGAGGAGTTGCGTGGCGATAGAGGGGCTGCTGTAATGGAGCGACTGTAAATATTCTGTTCTAGTTGAATGTCACAGCTGTTGGATTTTGCATTTATTTTTAAACTATTTCATGTTTGATACTGTGTATAATAAATTTGCAGAAAGTAGAGGATTCCAATGTTTTTTCTTTCCCATTCCTCCTCTACCATTTTTACTTCAATAGGGTGAGACAACTGCTGCCTGACTGCAGAAACTGGTACATGAGTGACTGGTGGACTCCCAAATCAAGCTGTCACTACAGGCTTGATTTAAAAAAAAAATGCTATATTCCTGTCCCATAACGTTACCGTGTGTGAGTGCATGGAATAATAGGTACACAAGGAAAACAGACCTGTTACTGACAGAGCTGCTTGGAAAAACTGAGTGAAGATTTTCCATGGGAAAACCCAGTTCAATCAAAATCAATGATCAGTTTTGCAGGAAATTTGTTTTGGAGGAAAAAGGCAGAAAGAATTCGACAACAGTGAAACATTCCATTTTGACATTTTCTGAATGAAACATTTCTTATAGCAACTTCTCATTTTGAATTTGTTGTATTACAGATTATAAAACACAGTCAAATGGAAAGCTTTTTTTTGTTTTTTGCCTAAACAAAACATTTAGGTTGATACAAAGCAATCAAAAAAAGCTACCAATGTAAGGAATCATTAATAAAGGGATAGATAAGACAGAAAATGTCACTGTATAAATCCATGTTACGCCCATACTTTGAATCCTGCATGCAGTTCTGGTTGCCCCATCTCAAAAAGGATATACCAGTATTCAAATTGGAAAAAGGTACAGAGAAGGGAAACAAATGATTAAGGGTATGAACAGCTTCCATGTGAGATTTAAAAGACTGGGTCTCTTCAATTTGGAAAAGAGATGACTAAGGGGGGGTTTCAGAGGTCTATAAAATCATGACTGGTGTGAGGAAAGTGAAGGAGTAAATGAACACATCCTGTTCACCTAACACAAGAACCACTGCTTGCCCAATGAAACTAATAGGTAGCAGGTTTAAAACCAAAAAAAAGGAAGTAGTACTTCACACAACACACAATCAACCTGTGGAGCTCGTTGCCAGGGGATGTTGTGAAGGCCAAAACTATCACTGAGTTCAAAAAAGAATTAGATAAGTTCATGGAGGATAGGTCCATCAACAGCTATTAACCTAGATGGTCAGGGATGCAAGGCCGGGCTCTGGGTGTCTTACATAAGAACAGCCGTACCGGGTCAGACCAAAGGTCCATCCAGCCCAGTATCCTGTCTTCCGACAGTGGCCAATGCCAGGTGCCCCAGAGGGAGTGGACCAACAGGCAATGATCAAGTGATCTCTCTCCTGCCATCCATCTCCACCCTCTGACAAACAGAGGCTAGGGACACCATTAACCTCCATGAAATTATCCAGTTCTCTTTTAA